TAGTCGCTATAGAACCTGCGTTCTATAAATAGACACTTAACCACCATTGCTAGTTACTGATCTATAACAGTTATCCTGAATTAGCTCATTTATCATCAGCATTTTCTATTTGATGAATACTGTAAAAAAAAAAAACATGCACTTGGTGACAACCTTCAACAAAAACTGATCCATTTTGTTGCTCTCTAGAGTAATAATTATGTTTTCTGGCATTTCTATGTACTTTCTTTGGAGATGCTCCAGGGAAAAGATTTCCTATGCATTAACCAATAAAACAATAAGTATGGCAACCTAAATGGTGCAGCACAGGATTGTTATAGAATTTATGACAGTTTGAGCAATACAAAATAATCATATTGCCCTGCTATAAATGGAAGACATTTTATCTAAGGAATGAAGACTAACACAGCTGACACATTAAAGAAGCAGCCCAAGAGGGGAACTTCATTATTTTGCATGTTTGTCAATTGCAGATGTATTAAAATGGGGGAAAAAAAACATGATATATTTTTTAAATCCCTAAGATTTATATGCGTTCATATTTAGGCTTCTGAAAAGATAAATCATTTTAGAAATCGATGTTCATATTCTGAAACTTGCTTGTCAAACCCTGATCTCATTTTATATTGACATGAAAACATTTTCACAGTAAAAAAAGAAGTTAAGTCCTTATATTTTTCAAAATATTTCCTCTGATATGTTGAGAAGTACCAGGAATTTGTTTTCTCCACTGAGAAAAAATTAAACGCCTTTAGATTAAACAGAAAGAATCATATCTTAGTAAAGCTTTCAGGTTGTAGTATTTATAGTTCATTATTAAGGGAAAATTTTACTTAATCACTAAGTAGAAAAGCTAAAATAATTTTCGTATTAAAATACACATACATTGGAAACTGTTTTGTTTCAGTGCAAACATTACATCTTGGTGAATAATTCCCATTTGAGAGTTTGATTGCGTTTTCCCAGTATGAGGAATAAATGAGACGATTGGCTTGGGGGAGTGGGGAACTAATTAGCGTATCTCATATCAAGCCGTCTATCTATTTTCTTTGCCCTCACAAGGTATTGTGGAGGCATTATCTGGAACTGATTAAACCCCAGGAGAGAAGTGGGGGAAATCATATATTCGGGAGTAGTTCTCCCGGAGAACGCGAGCGCCCTCTAGCTCGTATTTACAAGCAGATACTGGTGACGTAACTCGGGCCACTTCGCCACCAGGGTGTAGGAGGGAAGGGGCCGGATTTCTCCCGGTAGGAGCACTCTCTGAACCAAAGAAAGAGGCTGGCGACAGGAAGGAAGAACAGATCAAGCGTTTGAATAGCAGCCACAGGACAACCTAAAGCCTGTGAAGAGTTAGGCGCGCGTTGCACACAGTTCCCCCGCGTACCTCCCCCCACCCCATACACCCGCCGCCGTGTGTCACCTTCCTGTTCGGAAGTCTTAGTAGGTCGCTGGGACAGAACAGGGGGCCCCTGCTCCACCCATCAGGTATCCGGTTGGAAGAAAAGCCAGTCTCAACAACTTGATTCTCTCCGTTAAATGATAAGTTTAGCAGACCATCCGTCTCCAACGGCTGCACATTAGTGTAGGGGGAGGAGGGAGCACAGCAGACGATACTTTTCTGTTCCAACCACAAATCATATGGTTGTGCCTCTTCTCTGTTCCACTTAGAGCCCTCTAACTTAAATTCCACGTTCCTCCTGGAATGCGAGCAGAGCCTCTTTGAGAAAATGAACTCTGTGCATGTGTTTTGAATTTTTTCTGGACTGATTTGTGATGATAATCAGTCAAGTTACATTTCTTGTGTGTCTTGCTGGGGGTGTAATAAACCCAGGGCACTGATGACTGTAATTTTCTGGATGATGTTGCAACGAAGGGAATAAATGGCCCAGTGCTGAACTTTGCAGCTTGCTCCCTTCCTGTATGTAAATTGCCTTTATATAAAGTGGGGTTCATAACAGAGCTGGGACAGCCGCCTCTGACTCATGCTCCCTTGTCATCTCAGCTTCCGGTCCTATCAGGCACATAGCAGGGAGGCTACTCCAGCCATAACTAAGCTCTACCTCCAGCCTCCAGAAAGGAATCCCCAGCCTTCATATCCTAGGCCACCTGAAGAATGAAAGAGGAGGCTATAAAATCCTCTTTGAAAGGTTTGTCTGCTTTTATTAAGATAATTTGGATGAAATGGGTAAAACAAAGATGCTTCAGAGGATTTGGGGTTACTTGGCATGGGGAGGGCACAGGAGGTGAGTCGCTGGAGGTTTCTTAATCTAATGAGTAAAAAACAAACAGGCAGAAATCTTGGTGCAGTTTGGTGTTTCTGGTCATTCTTCAAAAATTTTGCTTTCTCAAAAGGGGAAGGAACCGGGTGGGAGCAGGGCTGGCCTAGGCTAGTTGAAGTGGAGCGTGGGATATGGGGGCAATAACAAAGTCATGTTATATGAAGAATCCATGAAAGAGGAAGCAGAAATGGGCCAGTTACTGTGACTTGGAGTTTCCTAAACCTTGCTTTGGGTTGGAGTGTCAGTTTCAGGGACTAGTAAGTGCTTTTTAAAGAGTGGGTGCTGAGCAAAATTTCCCAGCCAGTCTCCAGCAGAGAGGATGTGTGTTCTCTTCTGCCAGTTTGAGGCTGCTGTAAAGCAGTTGAGGCTACAGATCACGTTAAGACAAATAAGGTGGTTGGTGTGCAAAACAAATTCCTGCCCAGCACCAAAGAAAAACCGCTTCACATGTATTCTTGGTTTGACAGTTAGTAGTTCGGTGTGTCAGATCCAGTAGGCAACCTTAAATGGCAGGGCCGTTGGCAGCAAGGGGTCATGGCAGGGCAGGCACCGCAGACATCCCTGACAAGCGCCAGGTACCCGGCCCTGCAAACTTAGTAACTTGCAGCCCTCTCCCCGCTCCTGGCCCAGTCGTTGTGCTCGTGGCTTCCCCGCCAGCGCTGGCGCGAGCCCTCCCACCGGCGGTCAGACTGCAGCTCCCAGGCATCTCCCAGCGGCGGGGTTACTGGAAGGCACCGCACCGCTGCTCTGCAGAGCTTCCCTCCCTCCCTCCCTCCCTCCCTCACTTTCTGGAGCGGAGGAGGCTCCCGGCTAACCTTTCAAGAGTTAACGAGTCACAAGTTATCTGGGACTTGAGGGAAAGATCGAGGTGGTAAACCTGTAAGAAGACTGCGGGGTCAGCCCTGAATTAAACCGGAGGAGGGGTAGGGAAGACGAGCACAAACTCAGAGATTTGAAGACAATGGGTTGCGACCTTGCGGAGTTTTCAGGTCGGGGAGCGGGCGAGGGAACCTCGGGAGTAGACGGTGGCCTGGGATGCCGACTCCGCACCGCCCCAGGGTCACGCCAGGTCTGTCCCCTAACTTGCCACCTCCTCACGTGTTTTTGGCAAGGTGGGGATTAAAAAGGCAAGGGGGAAAATTACATGCGGAAAGGACAGAATGTTCCCAAAGATTACTTTAGGGGGAAAAAAAAAGTGAAATGCAGTTTTTTTTTTTCCTTTAGTGCAGAGACGAATTTTATTTCCGCCCCCTCCCCTCCACATTCCTGACCTCTCTCCCTCCCCCTTCCCTCTTTCTTTCCTTCCTTCCTCCTCTTCCAAGTTCTGGGATTTTTCAGCCTTGCTTGGCTTGGGCCAAAAGCACAAAAAAGGCGTTTTCGGAAGCGGGTCGGCCGTGCACAAGGGCCATTTGTTTGTTTTGGGACTCGGGGCAGGAAATCTTGCCCGGCCTGAGTCACGGCGGCTCCTTCAAGGAAACGTCAGTGTTCTCTGGTCGCCCTCGCCCGCTGCGCGCCCGGCCGCCGCTGCCCATGGGGGAGATGCAGGGCGCGCTGGCCAGGGCCCGGCTCGAGTCCCTGCTCCGGCCCCGACACAAAAAGAGGGCCGAGGCGCAGAAAAGGAGCGAGTCCTTCTTGCTGACCGGACTGGGTAAGCGCCGCTGCCGGCACGCGGGGGGCTTGTCTCACCAACTCCTCCACTAGTTGCTCGGATTGGGCGAGAGAGGCTGGGTATTTGGGGTAGTACCAAGGATGGAGAGATGGGGAAGGGGTAGGAGGGCGGCGGGAACCCGGGGACGCGCCGGGCGCTCTGGCCCCAAGCTGGGGCCGGAGATAAGGGCGTGCGGGGCCGCCCTCCCCCGGCGCTGCAGCCCTGCGCCCGACAGATAACCTCAGCTGGCGGTGCGCGGCCGGCCGGCGAGGGCTGCGGAGGCTGCCTGGCGGATTAGGGGAGAGAGTCAGGGTCGGCGCCAGGGTCGGGAGTGAATCCGAGCGGAGAGTTTGAGAAGCCAGAGCGGGCACAGAGCCACCCCGACCGCCTCGCACCGGGCAGAAAGCGCTCTGATTTCCTGATGTGCCGCGACTCTGATTTCCTCGCAGGGCGGAATAAATGAGAAAGGTGGAAAATTACCCCGGCCGCTCCCTCCCTCCCCACCCCCTCCGCCGGCGGTCTCCCCCTCTCCGGCCCGGGAGCCGAGCGAGGCCGACAGCTGCCCTGCGCCGGGCCCTGCCGGGGCGGTCCCCGCGCCCCCCGCGCCCCCCGCCCCCGCTCCGGGCTGGCCCCTCTCGCCGGGGGCGGAACCGCCTGCCGCCGGCCGCTTTGCCGCCGGGCAAGTCGCGCGGCAGCCGGGGGCGGGGTCGCGACGGGGCCGGGCAGCGCCGCCTCCTCCGAGTCTTGCGGGTCCCGCCCTCGCGGCGGCACAAGGCATATAAAGCCGGCGGCGCGGCCGGAGCGCAGTGTTGGCTGAGCCGGTCTCCCGGTTTTGACGACTCCTAGTGCTCTCTCTCTGTGGTGATGACGGTGAAAACCGAGGCTGCTAGGGGCACCCTCACTTACTCCAGGATGAGGGGCATGGTAGCAATTCTCATCGGTGAGTGTAGGAATACGACTGGACTTCCAGGTTACGCCAAGTGGAAAGTTTTGGAGGTCGCGGATCACACTGGTGTGTTGTGGCGTCGGATGTTACAAAGCCGTCTAAACGTTTCTCCTCTAATTCGCAGCTTTCATGAAACAGAGAAGGATGGGCCTGAACGACTTTATTCAGAAGATTGCCAATAACTCCTATGCATGCAAACAGTAAGTTTGGTGGGGCGACGTGGGGAAATAAAATTAAGTAGGGAAGTTTCCATTTACCAGCGGTAAAGACGTCCTCATCAATATATTGATCAGGAAGCGGACGACTTACCGAGGGTGGGGATCTCTTTTCTCTTTAAGTTCTAATTATTTCAAACATTTAAAGCATTACAATTAATTTGCTGATTTGGCTTGTTCTGGAAATGCAAGGTAAAATTTTCTTTTTTATAAATTTATTTTTGGTTGCGTTGGGTCTTCGTTGCTGTGCCCAGGCCTAGTTGTGGTGCGCGGGGGCTACTCTTTGTTGCGGTGCGTGGGCTTCTCATTGCGGCAGTTTCTCTTGTTGCGGAGCACAAGGGCTGTAGGCGCGCTGGCTTCAGTAGTTGTGGCGCGCGGGCTCAGTAGTTGTGGCGCAGGGCTTAGTTGCTCCCGCGGCATGTGGGATCTTCCCGGATCAGGGCTCGAACCCGTGTCCCTTAAGTTAGCAGGGGGATTCTTAACCACTGCGCCACCAGGAAAGTCCCGATAAAATTTTCATGTTTGCCTAATTCACCCCCTCTCTCCTTGAAGAACAACCCTCTGTGTTTAACTGGGTCTATCATTTTGGCTGTTATTTTCTTTCACTGAGTAATTGATTTGGGTGTTTTTAAACACTGAATCCCCCGGAAAGGTTGAGCCAGAAATTCACTATTGGTGTTGGTCTGCCCTCACATGGCGAGTTAGGATGTTCAACGTTGCTCCTTTCTTCTCTGCAGCCCTGAAGTTCAGTCCATTTTGAAAATCTCCCAACCTCAGGAGCCTGAGCTCATGAATGCCAACCCTTCTCCTCCAGTAAGTGTTCTCTATTCGTGATGCATCAGTGGAGGAATCTTATAAATGAGTCAGTTAGTTTGCCTATGTTGATGAATTATAAAATATCATTCGAGTTAGTATCAAGGCAGGAATGCCTCG